CCCTACACCTCACCTGTTTATCTTATACCTACTCTAAATTCATATACATCAAAGGTATTGTCCATGTGTTACATGTGTAGGTTAAATTTAAAGGAAGACATCCCTCTTCTTCACTTTATCAGGTAAAAGTACTTCTTTCCCTTCACTACATATGTAAAGAAATGGGGAAAAGGGAGAGGAGGAGAAAGAAGGGGGACTCTGTGTGAGGGTGTGCATGCATGTGTGTTTGAGCTTGTGCACCTGTTAGAGATGACCAGATGCAAGCCATTTCAGGGTTTAGGGTTCAAGATTCTTAGGCAGTTTTCATCTTGAAAACATTTCATTCAAATTTAAACCCAGGAATCATGCAATTAAATTGATTTCCATATATTTCTATAACATAAGTTGAGGTCATTTTCTTTTATTTCTCTAATGTGTAAGATACACTGCTTGAAAGTTGGAGACTACATTTAAAATTTCATGCTTATCTGAGAGAAGACTATCACCACTACATATAAAACGTTTGCATACACCTGTATGACCACACAGATCAAAATGCAGAACATATCTATGGTTATATCTAATTTTAAATACTGATCTGGAGGTGGTTATATGGGTGTAAACATATATAAAAATTCACTGAACTTATGTACACTATGATTTGTTCAGTTTACTGTATGTAAATTACTCCTCAGTTTAAAAAAAAAGAGCCCCTGTAAAAGTTTGTGCTTATCAAATAAACTTAGAGGAAATTTAGTATTTGATACTTCACATAGTAATCACTTAACACATACAAACACACACCATAGGTGTATTATTTTTAAAAAGAAACTACATTTGTATATTATTAGGAGTTGGTTCCTAATGGAAATAAATCATATTATTCCATTTTATTACCACTGATCCTGTATTACTGTTACTTTAAAATATCTCTAAGACAATTCGTCTAGTTTTTTATAGGTCAAGCAAAGTATATTATCACCTGTCCTATATCTCATAAGAAAAAAAGAAAAGGAAATGTGAAGTGATATTCATTTGTGCCCTAGGGTGTTCTACTAATAATTGCATTATATCAGATTTTTGGCAGTCACTAATTCACTCTTCAGGTAACCATAGTTTTTAAGGATGCTGGAACATAATTTCCATGTAGTGCTTTTAAAAAGTATGATTTTATTAATGGTTTAGAAATAGTGTAATGATTGGTTTCTTATCAATATCATTTGTGCTAATTTCTGAGGATCAGTCCCATATTGACTCTAAACGTTACGGTGTACAGACCATTCTAACTCTGCTCATTTTAAGACACAAGGACCCCACCGCTTAATTAGCATCTGAAGGTCATAATCTAAGACTCTCAGTTCAAATCATAAAATCTGGGGCAGATATGTATTTTGGAGAACATCTCCTAAAACTTTGACAAGAGCATGTATTTAATGTCTAAAGTAGGAAAGACACAGGCACCATTAGTAGCTATAGAATTATTTTTGAGATTCAATGAAACAACTGATCATTTGCTCTCCAAGAAAATGGTTCTGAAGTATTGCCTATGCGATTTAAAGGGACCATAATCTTTGAAAATAAGGCATTTTCCAAAACATTTAAAAGATGTCTTTTATAGGACTTGTAATAATGGATGAGGGAGAAAATATCTTAATGTTTTTACCTTTTTGTTTGAGTCAGAGACCCCTAAAATCAGGCTCTGTAATGTGCCCTCAATATCTACAAACATAAGGGATGGACTTCTTTGCTAGAATGAATCAGCGACAATGTTTATCTGCAAGTGCAGGTTAGATAATGTAAGGTAGGTACTGCATGTTTAATTAGAAAGATAGCAAACGTTTTTCTAAAGCATGTAAAAACACCTAAAACTCAAGTAAAGGAACAGGAAAAAACATCCGTCTTGGTTAAGTTAGCTTGTACAAATGACTTGATTAGATACATGGCTCAGAATTCTGAGAAATTACTGATGATACTTCAAGTTCCACTTGTGCTTCCTCTACTTATACACCCTTGATAAATGCTATGTTGAACCAACCTGTATCTTTACCTTAACCAACTGACACAGCATCTGACCCAAATCAGCACGACTAATATTAGAAAAGCCCCATGTAGTGCATATGATAAGCAAACCGACATAGCTCCTAAGGGATTTTGAGGTCATTTAACGCATTCAGTTGCTTTGTGTTGGCACCTAAGCCATCTCAAGGAAATATTTATTCTAATCATAATTTTCTACTGAAGTTGCTTTGGGAAGACAATTTCACATCCTCTCCTCATTCAGCAAGGAAATTCATAAGCATGCTTAACTTGGATCATCGAGAGAAATATTTAATGGGTCTCAGAGAAAAGTAATGCTGTAACTGGGCTGGTCTCCTTCCCAGTCTCCCCTAGAATGACAGACTTGTGATGCATCGCCCCCGAATTGGGAACAGACTGCCCTCCTCTTTGCTGGCCCTTGTGGACTTGACTCCATCAAGACGTCCCTGATTGCTCACACCTACACTGACAATTTTTTCTTTTGAACTTCCAGGGTTTTTATTACAGTATAAAGAGCTGTAAACATTTGCCTATAATAACTGAACATTTGATCATATAAAAAAAGTTTACTTACAAAATATTTTAAACAATTACTTTACTATTATTTACTATGTTAACTTGTAATTTCCTTAAGGTCAGAGACTGCTCCTCTTGCACTCTTTAGTGCTTGGTCGAGTTCAGTGCCCAATGTTAACACTTGCTGGTTGCCTGATTAAGTGATTCCATGGACACAATTCTTATCCTTTCTGTAAGATGTCATGAATTTTGGATACTCATTTTATGAGTGGTCATTACTCTTTGAGTCATACTTTTTCTTAGCACCCAAAAAGTATAGAAGAGTATCACAAGTGAGAATTCAGGGAAGGGAATGTTGGAAAAAATAGCAGTTTCTTCAATGTTTAGGTTCTAAAGTTATTTCTATTTCAAATATCTCTAATAGAATCTCTTCCTCTACAGCACATGGTAGTGAGGAATTCCACAGGTTCATGTGGTTGATGAGGTACAACACACTGTGGTAGCTGTGGTGTGTGTGTTTGTGTGTGTGTGTATGTGTGTGTGTGTGTGTGTGTTTAGGGTACATCGAGGAGTATGTAGCAGGAGTGCTAGAAGCAGTCTTGTAAGTTTTCATGAGCTGCAAATGATAAGAACAGAATATGTTTGATGTAGGTATGTGCATGTTATTTCTGAAATTCTGTTTCTATAATTTCTCTTCCAACAATCTTTATGTATTGACACAATAACTTTTTCATAAATATCAGAGACAGATTATAGAAATATTTTTCTGTTTTTAAAACTATATAAAAAATAAACTCAGTAGAACAACTGATTCATGCAGTTTGTTGTATAGCTGTATGACACATGTAATGGATATGAGAATTGAGTTGTTGAAGATAAAGTAACAATCAAGAGTTTGATGAGAGGGGCTTGCCGGGCTTCCCGGGCTTCCCTGGTGGTGCAATGGTTGAGGGTCCGCCTGCCAAGGCAGGGGACATGGGTTCGTGCCCCGGTCTGGGAGGATCTCACATGCCGCGGAGCTGCTGGGCCCGTGAGCCATGGCCGCTGAGCCTGCGCGTCCGGAGACTGTGCTCCGCAACAGGAGAGGCCACAACAGTGAGAGGCCCGCGTACCGCAAAAAAAAAACAAACAAAAAACCAAACAGACAAAAAAGAGTTTGATGAGAATCTAATTCTCTTGTTTTCCTATTAAAGTAAAATTGTGGGGCTTCCCTGATGGCACAGCAGTTAAGAATCCGCCTGCCAATGCAGGGGACACAGGTTCAAGCCCTGGTCCAGGAAGATCCCACATGCCATGGAGCAACTAAGCCCATGTGCCACAACTACTGAGACTGCGCTCTAGAGCCCGCGAGCCACGACTACTGACCCTGCGTGCCGCAACCACTGAAGCCCGCGCACCTAGAGCCCATGCTCCGCAACAAGAGAAGCCACTGCAATGAGAAGCCTGTGCACTGCAACAAAGAGTAGCCCCCAGTTGCTGCAACTAGAGAAAGCCTGCGCACAGCAACGAAGACTCAACGCAGCCAAGAATAAAATAAATAAATAAATAAATAAATAAATAAATAAATAAAAGTAAAATTGTGTAACTAAACTCTGGGAACCTTTGCTTTTACTTGTTCCTATCCCCTTTGCCTATAAAGATGATCCAATATCTTCATCATTGAAAAACCCAACTAAAGAATGTTCACTCCAGTTAAAATAAAAGCATAAATAAAAGATTTGTAAAGTCTTTATCCTCACTTGGTCTTCAAAAAGAAAAAAAACAAAAAAAACCCTAGTGGAGGGCTTCCCTTGTGGCGCAGTAGTTGAGAGTCCGCCTGCCGATGCAGGGGACGCGGGTTCGTGCCCCGGTCCGGGAAGATCCCACATGCCTCGGAGCAGCTGGGCCCGTGAGCCATGGCCGCTGAGCCTGTGCATCCGGAGCCTGTGCTCCGCAACAGGAGAGGCCACAGCAGTGAGAGGCCCGCGTACCATAAAAAAAAAAAAAAAAACCCTAGTGGAATACCTAAAACAAATTTAGGATTAATTTTGAAAAGATAAACACTTAGGTGAAAATTCTTCTACCTCTTTAGAACAAAGGTAATAATTATTTTTACTATTATATTCATCAGTATCAGTCAAGCAAGTTCAAACACCCTGAGGGAGCTCATGTCCCCTTGAGATTTAAAAGAAGGCCTAGGGATAAAAGGGAGACCTGGAAGAAGGCAGTTGCTAGTAAGGGATGGAGTGGGTGACAGGTCTGGATGAGAAAACAAGGACAAGAGGCAGCTGAGAGGACTGAGGGCTAAAATAGGGTCAGGGAAATCTAGAAATTTTGTAGCCTGGAAGAGAATAAGGAGGCTCTGACGAGGGGGTCAGGGTGGCACTATTTTTACTTACTTTGGTTGTTAATAGATCCACAAATAGTTGCTGGGTAATCCTACCAGAGTTAAATAAATAATTTGCTCTATTAACCAGAGATTTACATATTGTAATCAAGCAACATTACCTCACTAGATCCTTATAGATAAGCTTTGTTGTTTCCAGATATGGATTAAGCACATCTTCATATTGACAAAGGGCTCCACCAAGGCAAAGATGTTTGAAAAGACAAAACAGGAACTCTTCTCTATCTGGTTGGCTGAATACTTCATATTTCTCTGAGTCTTCCACTAGCAAAACCTATGTAAGATGATAAAATTCATCTCAATGTAACATAATTTGAGGTTCTAATTTTTATGTTTTCAAAAGTTCCAGTTTATATGTTTAAAAGTAATTTTAGACCTATTTTCAGAACCAATCCTAAAGCAATGGAGAAGATGATCTGCGAGACCTGTGCTTATTGTCCCTCCATTCTATCATTTTATCAGGTACAGACAGTGAAAGGACTAAATCTAAACGTAAGCCTTCTCTTCTGTTTTCTTTGTTCTAGTTTATATCTTTAGTAATTGTTTCAGTGCTACTGAAATTTTAGAGTTGAGTCACTGCGAATCTCATTTGGAAACAATGGGAGTATAAATAAATGGAGAAACTTCTCCATCCCATAAGGTCCATAGTCTTTGCTTCCATCAAGAGGTTAAACACAAATGGTCATTTTCTAAGCCCTTTCATAGTGTTTGGATTACTATTTTCCTTATGCCCACAGTTACACTATTTTGAACTATTCCGGTAGCGGGAGCCTCATAATCACCTCTTCTTCTGTTCTCCTCTAATAATATCACCTTACACATCACCAAGCTACATGGATGCTTGCTCTCTTGACACCGTGCTACCTCTTTCAGAAAATAGTTTGACTAGGTCTGATGTGGGGGATTTTCTTACACCATTGGGCATTACAGACAATTGCTTAATTTGTTGACTGTAGTGGACATGAACAGGTGATGAATGTATACTACAAAATATATTCCTTTTATTGAATTGCTTATAGCCCATTTACTTGAAAAAAGAATGAGAAATAGCTAATAATAAAATATGGATACAGTAAGATAAAAATAATAAAAGACAAAAGAATGTAACCAAGATGTAAAGTGGGAAGAGAAAATAAAAAAACATAAGGAACTCTACATGGAGAAAAGCTTTAACAATTGTGCATGACATTTAACACTACCATACACTTAACACAAACATAAATACACATAAGAAACTCTAGATGGAAAAAAGCTATAAAAATTGTGCATAACACAATGCTATCACATAGGTAAAGGAAGGATATATGAGTCATATAACAATCACTGTCTAGCAGTAAGAAGTACACTTTTTATTAGGAAAATTGATTAAACTTAACATTTTATTTACCTCAATCTCAAATGAAAATCATTACAAGTTCATTATATAAGAGGCATTAAAAAGCAATAAACTCTATGGTGTTGTCTATATGTAGTTTACTTATAATGACTTGAAAGCTGAAGTTATATGTAGTAAAAGGTAAGAGGAAGTGGTCCACAGTTTATTGCTTTCTGTGTGCCACATATAAGACCTGTAACATCTCCTCTCCTTCCCTCCCTCTCTCTCTATAAGGAAATAATGTGATATTAAAACCCAAGTTTACAGCCACCTAAAGATTTGGCTTAATACAAGGGTGACAAAAGCCCTTAGGGATGAATAGTTTACACATTCCTTACACAAGGACTCATATATTGAATTGATTAGGCTGTGCAATTAAAAAATTATAATTAAAAACATTTTTGGAGTGAATGTTAAAACAATAATATTTTATGTCTGATCTCCCTCTCTATTCACATACAGATCTGTTTAGTTGTGTAGCCCTCAGAGAGGAGACAGGCAATGGTTAATGAGTCCAACTTCTGAGCTGTGGTCAGGAAGGAGGCTATTATCAGAACTTAATTACACAGTGTGCCAACAGAATCTGTGTTGCTACACAATGGGAGGGCCCTTTCTAGTTCAGGCTAAAGCTAAAAGTTCTTTATATTTTTTTCAGCCGGAAAGCAACCAAGTTAAAGCCCGCTCTGTTGCCACAGAGCGGCAAAGAACACAAGAGCAAAACATACAGGCAATCAGCAAAAAACACCGAGCCCCAGCCCTTCCTGAATAGAGGTGCTACTCATGGCAATAAATAAGCAGGAGGCAGTTTTGCAGGGTATTCTGGTGAAGAGCAAACCCTCCTTTTATTTTTACTTTTTGGCCGCGCCGCATCCTAGTTCCCCAACCAGGAATCGAAGCCGTGCCCCCTGCATTGGAAGCACGGAGTCTCAACCACTGGACAGCCAGGGAAGTCCCACAAACCTTTCTTTTAAAACGTCATTGTTGGGCTTCCCTGATGGCGCAGTGGTTGAGAGTCCGTCTGCCGATGGTGAGGACACGGGTTCGTTCCCCGGTTCAGGAAGGTCCCACATTCCGCCGAGTGGCTGGGCCCGTGAGCGATGGCCGCTGATCCTGCGCGTCCGGAGCCTGCGCTTCGCAATGGGAGAGGCCACAGCAGTGAGAGGCCCACGTAACGCAAACAAGCAAACAAACCTCATTGGTGAGGCTCTCTCTGTAGAAGTGATGGTGTAGGAGTGAGTCCTTTTAGGTATTGTCCTAGTGAAGATCAATGTATGGACTGGCTGGATGCTCCCTCGTCTCCTACAGACAAGATTCCTGTGTCCAGAACGATGTATCAGTAGCCTCCCTATTTCATTTCTATCTGCATTTGTAATACATTAGACTTGTACATCTTCCTTCTCTCTTAATGTATAATAATAATAATAGTAATTAGTAGTAGTTCATATTATTGAAATCTTACTAAGTGCTGAGTATTCTGTAAAGCACTTTAAATGCATCATGTCACATAATTCTTACATTATTCCTATTTCATATATGAAGAAACTGAAGCTTAGAGAGGTTAAGTATGACAGTTATTAAAGTGACAGAGCCTAGATTTGAACCTACATCTATTTGATAGCCCTAATTTTTGACCACTTTGTAAATACTCTTTCTCATCAATTAAAATAATAATAATGATGATATTTCATTTTAACAGCATTTCATAAAATGCTTTCTCAACAATTTTAGGAAGAAGGTAGAATAGGCATTTTAATTTCCATATTGTACAGATAAGATCTTGAGGCTCAAGATATTGAATGACTTGCCTAAGGTTATTATTATCTTGTAAATAATAAATCAGGAATTAGGAAAATAATCCATGTCTTCTGATGCCAAGTTCAGTATGTCTCTCGTTAAAACAAAAGTTAACTTAGTTAATCAAATGCCTTTTTGATCTCAGCAATGAGATTAAAAGATTATTTCCCTCCAGGGATGTTTTTAAATATTCATTTGATATGTTAAGATAAAATATTGAAGAAAAATAATCATCAATTAAAGAGGCCAGAGTTTCCTGACCTCAGCACTACTGACATTTTGGGCCAGATAACTTTGTTGTAGGGACTGTCCTGTGCATTGCATGATGCTTAGCAGCATCCCTGGCCTCTACCCATTAGATGTCAGTAGAAGCCCACTGAGAACTAATGAAATACACACATAATCAAGTTGATAAGAAAAGTGCCATCCAAGAAGAAACCTACCCAGGTAATGATTATTACTGATCATTATTCATTGATAAGAGGTATTTTATGGGTTTTAGGCAGGCAAAAGTTTTTGACATTAAGCATTTCCTGAAATGAAATTCTATTGTGAAAATTTTAAATTCTGTACTTACTTTTCGTAATTCATCAGAAATAAGGAAGGGATCACAAAAAGAATCTAAACATTTAACAATATGTCCATTCTCTCGTACAATATCTTCATCATATAACGGATTAAAAAATGACATTGAAAGCTGTGTGCAAGGAACGTTTATAGCTTCAATTTTTTTCACTTCAGTTCCTGAATAAAGAGAGATAAAAATTAATTTAGTACTCTCAATTATTGCCAAAACAAATATCACTCTGCAGAGATTCTAAGAAGTAACCAAATACAACATATGCTTTGATAGATTTAAAAGACACATTAGTTTAGGGATTTTATTAAATTCTTATTTTTCAGGTTTATTTTTATTAATTATTAAAAGTTTATAACAAAATTTCACCATTTCAGGCCTAGATGAAGGATATGTAAATTAGAAAATACTTGAAAATGAAATATTTATTGTGTAGTAGGAGGTTCTTAGATCAATTTTAATGTATATATCAGAATTGCCTATAAAACATAGAAATTGCTTCATATGATTTTGGATTTGTATTATGATTAATGCTTTATAATTCATATTACAAAAATTTTAATTAACGTAAGGATGTTTCTAAAGTCACTGAGGGTATTTTGAAAATGTTTCTCTCCATTTAAAAATTTCTCCCTTGTGATCTCACTTATAGTGTTTATAACAAAAAAAAGGTTTTCCAAATCAAGGTAAATTTCAAACCAGGCCCTAATCAAGTTATTACAAGTGTTAGAGAAATTTGAAATCATGGTGTTCTGTCTATTTTTCTCTTGTAGCTCTAGTTCTTCCCATTTCCACACCAACACCACCCCCCCCCCCATTTATTTCCTGAATGTGTCTTTCAGGAATGGATTTTCTGTTACTAGAGTTTCTATTAAATTGCAAAAAGACATAAAGATTAAGGTGAATACTTTTATTATTGCCTCAGTGAGTCACTCAATCGGTTTCTCTCCTTTATGCACCTAGATATGCACACGTACTCACTCAGATATAAAGGGGTGGAATTCTCCTTGTTCAAAGTTCTAGGACGATTGCAGACTTAGATATGGTGTGCCCCCTCCCCAATATATTTGCTGGATTTCTGACCTGAGAAGCAATTTGAGCTTGAGAAGAGTAATGTTGGTGATTATTTGCACTTCCTCCCTCTGGCTGTCCACCCAGAGTCTTGCTAGGACCTGTTGCTCTCATTCTGATCCTGAGCTGGGCTAGTGTGGAGGCAAGAAGAATGCCTGGAGCCAAGAACTGTGCATGCCTCAGTTATTGCAAAAGATATGCTGCTAAGAAAAGCTCCTTTTGTTCTAGAAGCAAAATCCTTCGGAAGATTAAAGTAAAAAGAAGACCCTAGAAAATGACAGAGTAGGTCTGAGTAATACTGGAAGACCAAAGAACAAGAGCCGTATAAAGCCAGACAATTTTCAAAGATGGGTTGGTGGCCGTAGGATGAGGGACTGACGTTGGGCAACATGCCATTTTAATAAATCTCCCCTAGGTCTGATTTGGGGAGTGGCAGGAGGGTGTGGATGGTGAGAGAAGGTAATTGAATTTAAACCACTTAATGTGAAACATAGAAACAGAACTTGCTGTGGACTGAATTGTGTCCTTCCAAAATTCATATGTTAAAGCCCTAACCCCCAAAGGGATGGTATTTCGAGATGGAGTCTTTGGGGAAGTAATTAGGGTTAGATGAGGTCATGGGTGGGGTTAGGAGGACCTCAACATATGAATTTTGAAGGGACACAATCCAGTCCACAGCCTTCTCCTCCTGGACCCCCAAATTCATGTCCTTCTCACATGAAAAATACATTGACTCTATCCCAATAGCCCCAAAAGTCTTAACTCATTCCAGCATCAACCCTAAAGTCTAAAGTCCAAAGTCTCATCTAAATATCATCTAAATCAGATATGGGTGAGAGTTGGGGTACAATTCATCCTGAGGCAAAATTCCTCTCCAGCTAAGAACCTGCAAAACAAGACAAGTTACATGCTTCCAAAATACAGTGGTGAGATAGGCATAGGATAGACGTTTACATTCCAAAAGGGAGAAATATGAAAGAAGATAGGGGTGATGGTCCCAAGCAAGCCTAGAACTTGGCAAGGCAAATTCCATTAGACTTTAAGCCTCAAGAATAATCCTCTTTGGTTCGATGTTCTGCTTTCCATACCTACTGGGGAGGTTCTTCCTCCAAGGAAGTGTGTTGTTGAAACTGAGGGGGTGACCCTGACGATCTCTAAATTGCCTTCTCAGTCCTTCTCTTTTCTTGAAGAATAGCACATGCTTACAGTTGAGGGCTCCATGGTCTGGCCCTGTAGGATCTAAAAAGTCTGATAGCCTTCATTTTGTCTCATTTTTTTTCTGTCCCCTTTAGTTCAAGCTGGCAGTGTCTTTGCTGGTACAATCCCATCTCTATTTCTGGCTTCTGCTGAAATGGCTGATTAAGCCATGAGTTGCACCCATGATCTCTTTATCAAATGGTTGCTCAAGGACACACTTAGTGTTCTCTTCAGAACAAGCTTTCTCATTTTCTGCAATATGGATATGCTGAGAATGTTCCAAATCTTCAAGTTCTGGTTCCGTTCCGCTTAACAATTCCTTCTTCAATTCATCTCTCTCCTTCCATATTTCACTATAACCATTCAGGAGGAAACAAGCCACTCCTTCAATACTTTGCTTAGAAATCTCCTCAGCAAATATTAATTTTATCACTTACAAGTTCTATTTTCCACAAAAGCACTAGAACACAGTTCAGCCAAGTTCTCTGCCATTTTATAACAAGGACTGCTTCTTTCCAGTTTCGAATGCCATGCTCCTCATTTCCATCTGAGACCTCACCAGAATCAACCTTAACATCCATATTCTAGCATGCACCTCAAGACTCTTACAGACTATAACCATTACACAATTTCAATGTTACTTCCACATTTTTAGGTATTTTTACAGAAGCACTCCACTTGGTACCAAAATCTGTATGAGTCTGCTTGGGCTGCTATCACAAAATACTGTAGACTGGGTAGTTTAAACAACAGACATTTATTTTTCCACAGTTCTATAGGGTGGGAAGTCTAAAATCAAGATGTCAGCTGATTTAGTTCCTGGTGAGGACTCTCTTCCTGGCTTGCAAATGGCTGCCTTCTAGCTGTGTCCACATGTGACAGACTCTTATAAGAACACTAATCCCATCATGAGGGCCTCTCAAGACCTTATCTAAACCTGAAATCTCCCAAAGACCTCATCTCCAAATACTGTCACATCAGGAGTTAAGGCTTCAATATAAGAATTTGGGAGGGGACACAATTCAGTGCATAGCACACACTCTCTGTTATGTAGAAATTTGGTTAAATTATGTCTCCAGCATTTATAAGTTTTACAATGCATCACTAAGATCACACAGAAAGTTAAGAATGTATTGTTTTTTACCTAATACTAGCATTACAATACACTGAATAGCTCCTTTTTATTTAGTGTCCAAGTTGGTGCTTTTCTGGAAACCCTGTTAATGTGGAAGTGACAGAGACAAGATGAGTTCTAGAGCCTGGATTTGAATCTCAACTCCACCTGGCCAGCTATGTAAAACTGCACAAGTTACTTAGCTCATGCTTCTGACCCCTCATTTTTGAGATAGGGATATACAATAATACCTCTCTGAGTTGTTTTGAGAATTAAAGGAGGTAAGTGCATAATGCCCTTAGCTGAGCACATAGGAAGCACCCATTACACGTCAGCCAAAGAAGGGCAAAGTACGTCTAAAAGAAGGGGGCCGTGGCAGCTGGCTGAGAGGATAAATCAGCACCAACAATTGGCAACATAGGCAGTGTAGCCAGTAGTGAAGGAGATTCCATCATCACTCTCTTTAAACCTGGTTCACTTGCTTGAAAAATGTCTTTTCTCTCATTAAACAAAAGCTGTTTCTTATGCTTATAAAGGCCCCCAGAGTAAAATTAGAGAGAAGATGGCCGATATATGAGAAAAAGAAGAAGAAAAGCAAATAGGAGGAGATTAAAAACAAGTTAATGGAAGAGTACAAGCAATCCACTGGAAACTTCTGTTTCTGAAGTGGAGTGCTACCTCTTCTTCTATTTTTCAGAGTACTTCTAATTGATTCTGTCAAGTACATGTGGAATTTTAGAACCTTTCTTTTTGCAGTGCCTTTTACAAAAATTAGAAAAAAAGTCAGTGCTGTTTTGTGAAGTATGTACCAAAATGGGGGAAGGTAGAATGCCTATTTCAATGAACGTTATCTTTTGTAAACGAGTTTACTGAAGTTACTGTAAACAGGGTTTGTAAACACTATGATACGTGACTCTGATTATTTCCTTTTGAAGATTTGGAAATGGTAAATATATTTGCTTAGGTACTCAGTTTAACTTTGTAAGTAGTCTGAAGATCACACTGTACTAACTTTTGGTTCTATAAATTTTGCAGTGGTCTTTAGCCAAAATCAATAAAATTTGAGCTACTAAGTCCAACATCATGAACTGTTTGTAAACTTGTGCTTGACTAATACTTTATGAAAAGTTATTTTTGTGTAAGGCCACTAGAGTTCCATGAAAATACGTTTTAAGAATTTACCAAAACAACCCCATCTAATTTAAAATCAACTTACATTTTCTTGAGCACATATTCACATTACCAACCAGATTCTTCTTCTAATTGGAATGATAATTTATTCTATTGTTAAGACAGCTCAACCTAAATTTTCAAATACAGTGTTCACGTTTCTGTTTTCAAAATAGTCTTCTGTTAACTCTCTAAATTATTTCTTGACCTGAGAGTTATTTAAGAGATCTGAGTGTTATTAAGTGTTTAAATGTTTGGGTAATTTTCTTTAAAGATTTCTAGCTGTGTTTCAACGTACTATGAAAATATTATCTATATGAAGTTCTCCTTTTGAGAATTTAAGACTCTCTCCTCCATGATTTAATATATTATTTTTAAAGACTGTTCCATGGTGGCTGCCATAAATTCATTCCCCTGACCCAACTGAGATTTTGCCCACGCATCCGCACACCCGTGGAAGCTTACCTGACCCTTTCCCACTGGGTAGAATTGACCACTCCCTTCCTTTTGCTCCCATTGCTATGTTAGCACCTTTGATACACTATTGCACATATTTTAAAATATATCAGTGAGTTCCTTGAGTACATGTTTTCTCTTACTCACCTTTATGTTCCCTGCATCTGTCAGAGTCCATGAAAGGTGCACAATAACTACTTTCCAAACAAATGTAAAGAGTGAAAAGTTGCTCTTAAGTGTTAAGCCAGGATAGCAGCAGTGGACTACCAGGAGAAAGATGCAGGGCAGGTCTGGCACAGCTGATAATATTTGACTTTGATGTTGTCAAGCAAATGAGTCATTATTCACAATTTACATTTTAATAATGAAAATTCCTGAGGTAAAATTTTGTTATAATAGTAAAATAGTAATCTGAAGAGATGAAAATAAATTTTGTTTACCTAATGTAATCCACTGTCCAGAAGAATCTGAAAGTAACTTCAAATTGGGAATAACATTTGGATCTTTAAAAAAAGCCTAAAATACAGATTTGAGGGGAACAAGTTAGATATATTATTATAAACAGTAATAAGAATTAACTTCTTAAATAACTATAGTAAAATCTCATTTAATTTAAATTGGGGAAGGATAATTTTAAATTGCTAAAATGTCTTAAGCAATAATCATAAAGAAATGAAGTTCTGTTACCTTCAAGTTGGAACAATATGAACAATACTGTTATGTCCAAGTAGATACCTTTGGGACTAATTTAATAAATAGAAAGTAATGATTTACAGTGAAAAGTAAGAGGTTATATAATGTTTGAAAATTTTGTTTTCTTTCAACCTTGTTCTCCCAATTAGCTAATGTAAGTAATCACTGCTTCCACTCTCCCCAACTAAATCTAAATCTAAATGTAACTGTCAATTTAATTCTATCCAAGGGGCACATAGAAAAGTGATAGATTTCACTTCTTTTTAAAAATTTTTTAATATTTTTACAGAGCAGGTTCTTATAAGTCATCCATTTTATACACATCAGTGTATACATGTCAATCCAATTCTCCCAATTCATCACACCACCACCCCAAACCCCCACTGCTTTCCCCCCTTGGTGTCCATATGTTTGTTCTCTACATCTGTGTCTCTATTTCTGCCCTGCAAACTGGTTCATCTGTACCATTTTCTAGGTTCCACATATATGCGTTAATATATGATATTTGTTTTTCTCTTTCTGACTTACTTTACTCTGTATGACAGTCTCTAGATGCACCCACATCTCTACAAATGACCCAGTTTCGTTCCTTTTTATGGCTGAGTAATATTCCATTGTATATATGTACCACATCTTCTTTATCCATTCGTCTGTCAATGGGCATTTAGGTTGCTTCCATGACCTGGCTATTGTAAATAGTGCTGCAATGAACATTGGGGTGCATGTGCCTTTTTGAATTATGGTTTTCTCTGGGTATATGCCCAGTAGTGGGATTGCTGGGTCATATGGTCATTCTATTTTTAGATTTTTAAGGAACCTTCATACTGTTCTCCATAGTGGCTGTATCAATTTACATTCCCACCAACAGTGCAAGAGGGTTCCCTTTTCTCCACACCCTCTCCAGCATTTGTTGTTTGTAGATTTTCTGATGATGCCCATTCTAACTGGTGTGAGGTGAGACCTCATTGTAGTTTTGATCTGCATTTCTCTAATAATTGATGATGCTGAGCAACTTTTCATGTGCTTCTTGGTCATCTGTATATCTTCTTTGGAGAAATGTCTATTTAGGTCTTCTGCCCACTTTTGGATTGGGTTGTTTGTTTTTTTAATATTGAGCTGCATGAGCTGTTTCTATATTTTGGAGATTAATCCTTTGTCTGTTGATTCGTTTGCAAATATTTTCTCCCATTCTGAGGGCTGTCTTTTCGTCTTGTTTATGGTTTCCTTTACTGTGCAAAAGCTTTTAAGTTTCATTAGGTCCCATTTGTTTATTTTTGTTTTTATTTCCATTACTATAGGAGGTGGATCAAAAAAGATCTTGCTGTGATTTATGTCAAAGTGTGTTCTTCCTATGTTTTCCTCTAAGAGTTTTATAGTGTCCAGCCTTACATCTAGGTCTATAATGCATTTTGAGTTTATTTTTGTGTATGGTGTTAGGGAGTATTCTAATTTCATTCTTTTACATGTAGCTGTCCAGTTTTCCCAGCACCACTTAAGTAAGTAATCACTGCTTCCACTCTCCCCAACTAAATCTAAATCTAAATGTAATTGTCAATTTAATTCTATCCAAGGGGCACATAGAAAAGTGATAAATTTCACTTCTTAAAAAATGAAAACTTTCTGTATGGCAAAAGAAAGAAAAGTAGCCAAGAGTTTTATTTCCAGGCACCAGCAGTTGACTCTGGCTGAAAAGATCTGAAGAGAAACTTATTAAAAGTATCTAAGGCAGTCTACTGCCTAATTATCAGGAGATGTAGAGAATCAGGTTAAGTGGGTTAAGTGCTGGGCCCTCAGAATAACACAAAATCATATGTAGAACTGCCCTGATGAGGAAACAGTCATCCTTGCTATAGTTGCATCAAGCACTAAAAAGAGCTACCATGATCCTTTCCTCACCAAGCCTACTGCTGTTCCAGGACTGCCCTAACTGAAAGCTAGATGCCTTTGCCACCACCTCTGCCATAAAAATTCAGGATTCTGTGTGTACCTCTTTCCTTAAGTTGCTCACTTTTCAAAAACTGGTTTTGCACTGATAAATCTGGTTGGTAGCCCTAGATCCCAGGTTTGTGCTCTGAGTGCAAAAGAGGCAAGTCTTACACAGTGAAGGAAACCATCAACAAAATGAAAAGGCAACCTACTGAACAGGGAAAATATTTGCAAATCATATATCTGATAAGGGGTTAATATCCAAAGTACATAAGGAACTCATACAGCTCAATAACAACAACAACAAAACTCCTAAAAATCTGTTTAAAAAATGGGCAGAGAATCTGAATAGACAGTTTTCCAAAGAAGACAAACAGATGGTGAACAGGCACATGAAAAGATGCTCAACACTAATCATCAGGGAAATGCAAATCAAAACCACAATGAGGTATCACTTCACACCTGTTAGAATAGCTATCAACAAAAAGACAAGAAATAACAAGAGTTGGCAAGGATGTGAAGAAAAGGGAACCCTCATGCACTGTTGGTGGGAATGTGAATTTGTGCAGCTACTACGGAAAACAGTATGGAGGTTCCTAAAAAATAAAAAAATAGAACTACCATATTATCCAGCAACTCCACTTCTGAGTATTTATCCAAAGAATACAAAACTCTAATTCAAAAAGCTATAGGGACTTCCCTGGCGGTCTAGTGGTTAAGACTTCACCTTCCAATGCAGGGGGTGTGGGTTCGATCCCTGGTCGGGGAACTAAGATACCACATGCCTCAGGGCCAAAAAAACAAAACATAAAACAGAAGCAATATGGTAACAAATTCAATAAAGACTTTAAAAATGGTCCACATCAAAAAAGCATCCCTATTTCATTGCAGCATTATTTACAATAGCCAAGATATGGAAACAACCTAAATGACCTAAATGTCCATAGGTGAATGAATGGATAAAGAAGTTGTGGTGTACACCCATACATACACACACACACACACACACACACACACACACACACACACACACACACTGGAATACTACTCAGTCATAAAAAAGAACGAAAACTTGCCATTTGCAACAACATAGATGGACCTTGAGGGTATCATGTTAAATGAAATGTCAGACAGAGAAAGACAAATACTCCATCGTTTCACTTATATGTGGAATCAAAAAAAACAGAACAAACCAAACCAAACAAATAGATACAGAAAGTACACTGGTTGTTGCCAGAGAGAAGGGCTCGGAGGTGAATGAAACGGATGAAGGGGTTGAAAGAGGTACAAACTTCCAGTTACAAAATAAATAAGTTATAGGTATGTAATGGACAGCATGGTGACTATAATTAATAATACTGTACTGCACATATATATATATATATATATATATATATATATATATATATATATTTTTTTTTTTTCTTTTTC